GAAGAAATATTTCTATATATCTTTTCTTTCTTTTGTACATATATTTCAGCTCGTTTTTTTTTATAGTTTACACCATGCTTTCTTCAAATCTGATTGTGGTTGGTAGAGGGTATTATATCGTTTGGATGCAATTTTGTTCAACCATTCAAGCATAGTTATTCGTCACAGAACTCTGGGGCGTTTCAGATACTAGCGTTTTCGGAATTCCATTTCTTGAAAATATGATCCTTAACACTTCTTACACTGTCTGACATCTTTTGTCAGAGACCTGTATTACTTCCGGCCAGCCTGAATATGAATCTACCAGTATTAGTAATAATACCACTCCATTAACATGGCGATCATCTATGTGTACTCTTTAGGCCATGTATGTGTTTTTGTCTGTCTAAATTTTCTTTTTTTAATGCACATTTTACAACTTTTTACGTATTCTTCTACATTTATAAAATAGCCTGTCCACCATGCCTCTATGTTTAATCTCATTTGCGTAGATGTTATGTCACAAGGAACATCGTCATGTATACTTTTTATATCTTTGCTCTTTTCCGTTGCTGCCGGGACCACTACGTCTCCATTGCGAATTACACACTTATCTACAGTTAATTTGTGTTTAACCTCTTTAAAACGACTTTCTGCCTGTGAGCAATTATTCAACTTAATGTTATATATCCTGAACAATATACTGTTCTATACGGGATCTCACTTCGTATCCTCTTTCTATCGACAAAATATCAGTTTCGCCTGAGAGTAAGAAAGTATCTTCAAATTTTCCTCCTTCCTCTAACTTTCAGAAGTAATGAGTTTCAACCTTGACAGAATCGCAAAAATCTTTTTCACATTGTTTTCTTCAAAATCTTTTCACATTTTTATATGCTGGACATATTTTTCTATTTAATCTCCATATTGAAATCATACGTCATTAACATTAAGGTCCATCTTAGAATTGTAGAAGACATTACCTTTATGAAATTCCATTCTAGGAGTAAATATGAATTTTAAATGTCTATGTTTATGACATAAGTAAGAAATTATTTCCAATCAGAAAATGATGAGCTCTATTTTTCGTCCATATTATGGCCAACGCTTTCTTTTCAATATTGGAATAGTTTAATTCGGCTTTTGACAATTTTCTTGAAATATACGTAATATGAAACCGTTCTGAGATAATATTCCTGAAATTGAGTTTTCATTGCGTCAGTTGTTGCTATTATTTCCTTTTTTTTATGTCGGATATTTTTACTAATGATTTCTTTGCTATAACAACTTTAAAATTTCAAATGCCACTTGTTCTTTTGTCCAAAGGAAATCCACATTCTTTTCTTCTTAAAGCAGCAAAAAGTTTTGTCCATTCAGAGTATCACCCTACATATCGTCTGTAGAAATTTGCAAGTTCTAAGAAAGTTTCCAATTCTTTAAATCCATCAACTTTTAATACTTTGTCAATTAATGTTTGGTCTGTCGATATGAAATATTACTGAAATTGCATTGTGTTGTGTTCTGAACACATTTCTTTTCGTTAATAGTTAATTCAGCAGTTTTTAACTTATTCAAAACCATAGCGATTTTCCATTTTAATACTTCGTTGTTAAAAGCATCAATACAAAGGTCGTCCTGGACGCACTTTGCGCAACCCATTGAAAAATTGAACTTCTTAATTCCATACGTCACTCTTTTCCATCTTAATAAGCCTATTGGCGTGTTTATTACTGTGACTTCTTGAAAGTTTTGGTCAAAAATTATTTGATGGTATGCCGAGTTTAAATCAATTTTGGCGAATATTTTCATGCCCACAAGCGTGTTTAACGGCCACTCTACATTGGCTATACGATATGGGTTTGCACATATTTTGTGGGTTACCTCTATTTTGTAGTCACCACAGATGCGCATATCCCCATCCTTTTTTTCTGAAAATTATTAACGGAGATGTTCATCTGCTCCCTTCCGACTGCGCATTTTCAAGTTGATTTTGTTCCAGTTATTGTTACTAAATGGACTGGCTTTTTTGGGGCCTCAAAATATGAGGGAGATGCATTTTACTTTATTCTTAACTTTTCTTCATAGTTTTTTTTTTTTACATTCCAGTTTCTTTTGTTTTGACTTTGTTTATTAATTTTGTCGAATTTATGTCCAACAAACATTTTTTATTAGATCATGATCCTTTTCACAGTTTGTCATGATATTTGGTAATACGTCAAATTTATTTTTTAGTTCCACGTATGCTTCAAAATAGCCTAAATTGTTATCACGGATCCATCGAACGGATTCAACTGAACCGGTATTTTCTTTAATCTTGGTTTACTTAATTTATTTCATTAATTTCTGGGTATCAACGTCACGTCACTTCCCTCATGTTCAATAAAAAATTATTGATTCGAATTTTTAGTAATCCTTTTTCATTTTTTTTTTCTTTTCAGTGACAAGACGTCCGTACTTATTTCCTCTTCATTTTGTTGGACCGTCTCTACATTTTTCTTTTTGGGTTTACACATACGTTTAAAATGATTCATTTTGAAACACTTTTCACATTTTTTTATATACCAGGCATTTTTGATTTTCTCTTTCTTTTGATTTCCATTACAAACGATTCTATATTTTGTATTGCATATGTGTCCATTTCTTCTTCGATATCCTTAACTTTTGGTCTATTAAATTTTCGCATTAATTCACGTTGTTGAACAAATCTGACACACTATTCTAGTGAAATTCTTTCTCAGTTGTAAAAGCATTAGAGGGATTTGCCAATACTTCTTCATTTGAAGGCCGTTTACCGATTTCATTTGGATCAAATCTTCTTCGATTGACTGGTTTTCCGATCCCAGTTTCTCATATTCACAATATTTCAAGGCCTGTTTTAGAAGAATAATATATTCGATAACTTGTTCAGTCACTTTTAGAGATATATTTATAAACGCAGCTCTCTCTGCATTTACTAGTATTTGCTATGGTTTTCGTTATTAGTTGACTTAATGTCATTTCCTCCAACTGTATTAGGTGCGTAATAGCTGATACATTTATAATGGCCTCACAAACAGTAGTTTCTAAGAAGCGATAAATTATTTGGTTTTCTCATTCAAATGATCTTAAATCCTTTAGCTTTTTTTCTAGATTTAGATGAGAGCAGCCTAAGCCACGCTTGTGCGTACTCATAATTATCAAGTGATAATTATTCATTGGGGTGATTAGATATCGGCGACGCCATTGTAGTATAGTGTTGCTGACTCAGGGTAAGTAGTAAGCACTCAAACTTC